GTTTATACTCACACAGATCTATGGGCTTTTGGGTTTGGCTCTTTCCTTCTAGAACAGGTAACAGATGGTGGTTCTGCTTCCCTGGTGGTGAGCCAGAAGCTCTGAAGATAGGAGACCATGATTCACCTCTATTCTTAACTGATGCTCCAGGGCCCAAAGTTGGTGTGAGTCTCCACGCCCTGAACCTTCGCCCAGGGCATTAGTATAGGTCCCTCTGCCCTTTCTGCTTCCAGGTGCCAACCTAGGAATGCTGAATCCTAGTGTCTCCCATCCTCTGAAAACATCCATCCCAGAAGCCCGCTGAGGTCCACTTAGGTGAGGAGGTAAGCCCCCAAGTGGCTGATGCGACCCATGATGCAGAGTCTATTGCTGGAGGCATTTAAGAAAAGGACAAAGATTTTAGTCCTGACCCTCAGGTCTAAAATTTGATGCTGCCCTGAGATAATTTGTGGGGCAGTGTCCCTGAGGGCAATGGACTCTGACTAGCCTCTGACTTAGGGCCAGGCTCACCTGGGTTCAAGTCCAGGTTCTTCATCTACTGCATGGCCTTGGCAGATTATTTGACCTCTCTGAGTCTGTTCCTTTTCTATAAAATACTAACACAGGCAGGTGTGGTGTGAAAGGAAGGTAGTTAATGCATGTATCAAGTCCAGCATGGTCCCTCACCTGCAACGTCCTTTCCTTTGTCTACTGCAAGGGGCTTCATCAGGCTTTGAGATACAAGTAGGTTTCTCTAACCATACAGCTGCCAAACCAGAGGTTTCCTAATGGGGTTCAATACCAGGCATGCCCAGGAGAGATTCCTTCTGTTGGGGCATGTTGAATTAGATTACCTCCAAAGATAGAGCTTCCAGGGTTCCAGGCTCAGTGAAGTCCAAGTGCTTGTTTTTCTTTTTAATTTTATTTATTATTATTATTTTAATTTGCTATAGGACATGTACACTCACCAGAGAGACACAGAGAGAGAGAAAATAAAAAAGCAAGCCACCAGGTCTAGGACTTGAACCATAGTCAGCCATGTGGGAGTTTAGCACCTCAACCACCACGCCATCTGCTGCCTCTCCCAAATGTTTTATTAAGTCCTTATGTTATGGTCACCCAAGTTTGGCCCTTTCATAGACTCTACGACCTTCCATCCCCTATCCCAGACAGACCCTAGACTTTCTTCCTCAGTATTTTGAAGTTAGTAGGAGGAAATAGAAACAACAATGAAACGTGAAGACATTAGGCCAGAAAATGGTCTTCAGGAAGAAAATACCTGGAAGACCCACTCATCAAGCCCTGGGACCCTGAATTAGTCATTTTCTCCTCAACATCTGCACCTGAGGACCCTCTTGGGCTATTAGGGCCTGAGCAGCCGCCCCCTGTTACTTCCTCTGAGAGACCATCTTCCCAAACTGCTCATCTCCCCTGCCCAAATCCTTCCTCTAGTTTGCCTCACTCAGATCCAATCATTCCTTCGTGTAACTGGTGTTGATTACATTTACAATGGGCCAGGCTATCTCAGGAACACAGACATAAACAAACTAGACCTTCCATGTCCTCACACAGCTCCCGGTCCAGCGAGAGAGGTCAACACGATGACCATAGCCTTGGTTCCCGCCTTCTTCACCTGCCTCCACCCACCTCCTTCTCCTCAGTAAAGGACAGGAATAGCAAGGACTGGCTGGGCCTTTGAGGAGGTTGCTCCCAGCACAGCAGAAGTGGAGCAAAGGGTAGTGAGGCCGAGGCACCCTGTGCAGGGGTCAGGAGAGTTATTCATATTACAACGCAGCTTCCTGCCTCCCATCCGGAAAAGAGCGGGCTTTGGGAGCGTGGAATGCTCATGGACTATAATAGGACTTAAACTGCAGACAGAAAAGCTAGAATTGTGGCCATACTCTTCTCTGGACCCCAGCCCTGATGGAGAGAAGGTGGCAGCCAAAGTGGGAATGTAGAGAAGCCCCTCATCTTTCTCGTCCCCCAAAACTGAAAAATCAACTCATTATTTTTCTTTAGAGAGAGAGATTTTCACTATAGAGCACATGTGCTCACCAGAGAGACAGAAAGCAAGAAATCATTCCCCAGGGGAGATGGCCACGCCACAATCCCTTCTCCTCCACTCTCCTCTTGGGATTTTGGGCACACAGGTGCTATGTGGGAGTCCAGTAACATAACCATTACACCATCTGCTGGTCCCCAAAATCAACTCATTCTTATGACTGCACACATAAACATACATCACCTTACACTGCCACAGGTGTTTGAACTTCTACTGTAGGCAGAGTGTTAAAGGTCAGGCAGCAGTCACTCCAGGAGCCATCTTGGTTAGAGCTGGTTTAGGCTGGTTTGATTTGTGATGGCCTTATCTTAACTACTAGCACGGATCTGCTACTTTAAAGAACACCAGGAGGGAGGGGGTGGAGGGAACAAGCATGGGAGGGACATGAGTCATCTCCACTTACCTTGGGAAACAGGCGCACATTGTGGATAAAGGACTGCGTTGAAAGCAGCAGTAACATTTTGGGATTTCTAGAACCAGTCCTTTTTTTTTTTTTTTGATTGCTATAGGGTGAGTGCGCTCACCAGAAAGACAGAGAGACAGAAAGCAAGAAATCACTCCCCAGAGGGGATGGCCATGCCACAATCCCTTCTCCTCCTTTCTCCTCCCAGGATCTTGGGCATGCACACACACATGCCTGGTGTGAGTTTAAGCCACCAGGACTCGAACCGTGGTCGACTACATGAGAGTCCAGCGACATAGCCATTACACCAACTGCTGGTCCCTGCCCAGGATGTTTTGATTCAAGTGCTAGCCCCCAGGATGGGGCCCTTACATCCATATTTTAACAAGCCATCCAAGTGATGTATGTGCCCACTGAAGCTTAAGAACCTCAAGAACCTCTGTTCTACATAACTCATTGAACCATTCATCCAACAAACATGTACCAAGTGCTAGGCAGAGACAAAAGTAAACTGTGATTTTTTTTAAGAAAGATTTTTTGCTATAATGAGCATATGCTTGCCAGAGAGACAGAGACAGAGAGAGAAAGCGAGAGATAACCAGGGAGGATGGCCACTCCGTAACCCCTTCTCCTCCTTTGGTCACATACATGCACATGCCCCGTGTGAGTTTTAAGCCACCCAGTCCAGGACTAGAACTACAGTCGACTACATGTGAGTCCAGTGACATAACCATTACACCATTTGCTGGTCCCAACAATAATTTTTCTTTTTTTTTTTTGGCCAATGCCTAGCACCTCACCAGACACTTAGGCAACACTTATTAAGTAGTTATCCAATACTAGCTTTCAAGGAGGTGCGTTTTATGGAAGAGACAGACATATGAATCACTAAATCAACACATAAAGTGGGGGGCTAGCGGGTGGCATGGTGGTTGGGACTTTATACTCTTACATGGCCAACCATAGTTCAAGTCCTGGACCTGGTGACTTGCCTTCTCACTTTCTCTCTCTCTCTCTCTTTCTGTCTCTGGTCAAATTAAAATAATAATAATAGATAAAATTAAATAAAATAGTTCTTTAAAAAATAAGTAAAGTGGGCACCAAGGAAAGGGTAGTCAAAGGGAACTGATGCTGCCTGAAGAGAGAGGTATCTGAGAAGGTTTCCTAGGAAAGGAGGCATCTGACAGCTGAGAGAGTAGGCAGGGTTTACCAGCCAGAGGAGCACATGTGTGCAAAGACACAGAGGTGTGACAGAGTGCCCAGCTGTGCCTGGGGCTTAGGGCACCATCAAAGATGGTGGGAAATGAAGCAGGGAGAAATAGGTGTTGGGGAACCACATCCTGATGGATCTACTTCACTAAGGAGTTTCAGCTGTGGGATGAATTTCATGGGAGCCTTAAGGGGTTTTCAGATAGAGGGTGAGCAATCCGATTTTCATCATAGGAAGGTCATTCTAGCAGCAGCTGGTGGGGAAAATAAAGCGGACAGTCAATACTGGAGGCAAAGAGAACGAACCAGGAAGCTGTTGCCAGGTCCACAGGAAGGCTGGAGAAGACCTGAACTGGAACAGTGGCAGTCCAGTGTGGAAGGGAGGCGTGAAAACTATTTCAGAAGACTTTGATATTTTATGTAATTTGTAAATGTATTTATTATAAGCAATTATTTATTTATTTATTGTTATTTGCTGTCGGGCAAGTACATTGACTGGAGAGAGGCAGCGAGAGGGAAAGAAAGTGAGAAATCACCCACCAGGATGGCCATGCCACAATCCTTTCTCCTCCATTCCTCAGGATTTCGCGAATGCACACACACACCCCCACTCCTGGCATGTCCTTTAAGTCACCAGGTCCAGGATTCGAACCACACAGTCAGCCACAGGATCCACGTACCCTAACCACCTTGTTACCGGTTGGCCTGTACTATTTATGTAATTTTTCTTAAATAATTGTTTATTTAATTTTACTTTTTAAATTTGCTATGGGGGGCCAGCAGTGGCGTGGTGGTTAAGGTGCTGGACACTCCCACATGGCTGACCACAGTTTGCGTCCCAGACCTGGTGGCTTGCTTTCTCACTTCCCCTCTCTCTCTCTCTCTCTCTGTGGGTCTCTCTCTGGTCAAATTAAAATTAATAAATGAATAAATAAATAATTTTTAAAAATTGCTATAGGGCATGTACACTCACCAGAGAGAGACCCACAGAGAGAGAGAAAGTGAGAAAGTAAGCCACTAAGTCCAGGACTCAAACCACAGTCGGTCATGTGGGAGTCCAGCATCTTAACCACCACCCTACTTGCTGGCCCTTTCTACATTTTTTAGGTTATCTGCTCATTTCTTCTATGAGAGAGAGAGAGACAGAAAGAGAGAACTAGACACCCCCAACAGGGTCTTCACGCCACAATCCACCCCCAGCCTTAGCCAGCCAGAATGGTAGGCATGCATGCTCGCCCAGCGTATCCAGGGAGACCGAGACGTCAGGTCAGGAACCCAGGACCTTGCCACAGGGTCCCACATTGTGGAGCCTTGCGTAACTGCAGCACCCTGCCGCTCGCCTCAAAATATCTGCAAGTAGTTGCTTCTACTCCTCATTTCACTTGTAAGTAGTTGGAGACTCCTCATCAGGATTCTGTCATTTCAGTGTGGCCCTTTTCAAAGTTTAGAGGAAAGAAATGTTATCCTCAAGGCATTAAAAAGAACCTTTTAATTGTGAAGGTAATACATATATTGTGAAAACTTTGGAAAACAGACGAGCATAAAACTCACGTATGATGTCACGTTTAAAGATAATCACAGTAGGGGCCGGCAGGTGGCATGGTGGTTAAGGTGCCAGACTCCCACATGGTCAACTGTGGTTCGAGTCCCAGCTAGTGGCTTGCTTTCTC